TTTTGGTTCTGTGAATAACGCAATCGTCCTTAATCCAAAAGATCATGGGTTGGAAACGAAATCGATCATACAACAATAACCTTTTGGCAAGGCATGATTCCTCAATGTCAAACTTTCGGGATTTGAAAAAAAAAAGGTTCCTCTGGACAGTTGCTTACCAATCAACAAACCGTGTTTTCTCTATAATTATCCACAGGTCAGAATATATCAGAGACATGGCATCCTCTAAGCAGCAAGATACGTCTGGGCAACTGGTCCAGCTTTCAAGTGCGAACATCGGATTCGCCCTGGATCTTTATCAAACTCTTCAAGATGAACGGAGAGGTAAAAATCTGTTCTTCTCCCCTCTCAGCATATCGACCGCTCTGGCTATGACACAGCTAGGAGCCCGAGGTGATACAGCAACTCAAATCGCTGATGTCTTCCGTTTCAATCAGATAGACCAAGATCAACTTCATGGAACGTTCAAAGAGCTAAACAACTTGCTTTACCGAAGAGATTCCAGTTACAAACTTAATTCCGCCAACAAGCTCTATGGCAAATCTGGCTACAACTTCGTTCAGTCATTTCTTAAAGAAAGTGCTTCCTATTATAAAGCAGCCATTAAGCCGGTAAATAACTTTGCATCTCCAATTGCCACTCAATCAATCAATGATTGGGTTTCAAAGCAGACCAAAGGTAAAATCAAAAACCTGATTGCTCCTGGAATCCTAAGTGATCTCACACGCCTAGTCCTGGTGAATGCCATTTATTTCAAGGCGAACTGGGAATCAGATTTTCGTGCCTACAATACTACACAGGATACATTCAAGGTTTTCGATGAGAGAGAGAAGGTTCCGGTGAGTCTAATGAGTCAAAAGGGAAGATTTGCTTTGGCTGTTGACAACACTAATGACTGTCTTGTGCTAGAGCTGCCTTATCAAGGCCACAATCTGAGTCTATTGATTGCTCTTCCCGTCAAAGATGATGGCCTTGGTCAACTTGAGACGAAGCTCTCTGTGGACGTCCTGCAATCCTGGGACGCAGGGCTCAAATCAAGAGAAGTAGAAGGTACTATTACCAAAGTTCAAACTAGAAGCAACATATCAACTAAAGGAGGTTTTGAAACGAATGGGAATGCCCGACGCTTTTGATGAAGATAGGGCTAATTTCGAAGGCATCTCAGGTGATAGAGAGTTTCATATCTCTGCCGTCATCCACAAGGCCTTTGTTGATATCAATGAGGAAGGGAGTGAGGCAGCTGCTGCAACGGCTGTTGAGATGATGTTGTGTTGTTCTCTACCAAGAGAACGTGAGAAGCCGATCCTGTTTCGAGCAGACCACCCATTTCTCTTCATGATTCGTCACCGGTCGACGAAATCGGTCCTTTTCATGGGACGAATGATGGATCCCTCCTAGATTTTGACCGCCATGTCCACGCTTTGAAAAAAATTACATTTTCTGTTTTGGCAGTTTAATCGAATAAGCAAAATCAAAGACTTTTCGTTCATTACGACGTCACTTTTCTGAGCCACGCAAATAGCCTAGTGTTGAATAATTACTTGATATATTCTATATTGTGCATACAATCAACAAATGTTTTGGGGATGAAATGTATAAGCTTGTTACCATTATCTATTACTTTTGAGAGATAAACCGTTTATTAAACAGGCCATGACGTCATAATATAAATGTTCTTGCGTTTTGATACCCATAGTCTCTTTTTCTTCAGACGAGAATCATGTAATCGCTGATTGGTAAAGGTCACTGCTATTGTATGCTGATTACCACAGACTGGTTATACTGGTTTTAATTTTTGCTCTACAACACACTAAACATAGAACCCCCAAATTTGAAATTATTCAACAGTATTAACAAGGGCAAATACATAGGATTAACAAATATTGAAAACAAATATATACAACAATGTATTGAAATGTTACAACTATGGGGTTACATAACAAGCGCATAGCGAACTTCATTCTTGGCATATGTTATCGTGTGTAAAAAGATTACTAATATACGGTACTCACTTTGTTCCAAATTAGCCAGCCCATGGAATTTTAAAGTTATATTATTGCCTGAATATCCCACGTACATATTTAGTAGCTTAGTTGAATTTGATACTTGATTGCTCATTATACAGAATATATTATGTGTGTAAATATATAAACGGTATAGTGGTAAGCTGTAAAATTGGGAATATATGGGGCAAGTAGAACTGCATATAGATAATACAGTTATTATGCTGCAGTGTTCAATGTAATAAGAGCTGATATTAATTGACAATTTCTCCAAATGTAATTTACCAATGCCGCAGGCTCATTTTGTGTGTGTTTCACACGGCAGACAATACAGGAGTGACAAATATTGCCACAGTATTTGTATTTTCAATAACATGAGAGGTTAGGCCTACATTGCAGTTTTTAGTATACCTGGTAATTTTTCATTCTACGTGTATAGTTAAATACAACTATATAGCGTAATGCACTAGCATGAACGAGCATAAGGCTTGCAAAAAAAATGTTGTACTGCCGTTTAGGTGCCAAAACATTGGTCGGTCGGTCGGAAATCTTTCTTTTAATACTTTTATTTCCTTTTCCCTCTTTGGGCAGATATTTTTCAGTTTTGAATGTTTTAAAACATACTTTTTATTCATTAAACATTTGTTTCTCTAAAAACGGTAAAAAAAAAAATGTTCCTTATAAAATGTACATATGTGCTTTGTCGTTCTTTCGGCTGTCGGCCTCGTAAACAAAAACGTAAACGTACTCCACCCGTTATCTAATGCCCATATAATCTACACTAACCAACATTAAACAAATATCGCTCTCGATGGGACCTACATCATACAAGCTTTGCTTTTTAGTAGATCCCCCACTTTATTGATTGATTTATATGATTGTATTCTCTGTGTTCACTATTATCATGTACATTATGTTTTCTATATTGTATGTTTAGTTATAATAATTACCATTGTTTATTATGTTCAATTATATTATCTTTGATAAAGTGAAATAAATAAACTTGAAACTTGAAACATTATGTAGGCGTATACCGCAAAATACATATATATTTTTATCATACAAAACGGACATTTCGTATACATATTGTAGATCAGCACTTAAAAGAAAAACAGAAATAAAAATATCTAGAAATAATTATATATCATGCGAAAAGTTACTGCTTAATCTCTTGCTTTAGCCTATCGAAAAGATTGTTTTAGTTTTTGATGGTTGGGGGGGGGGGGGGCGGAGTGGGGAGGGGGAGTGAGAACAATCTTACAAATTCAAATTCAAATTAAAACTTTATTGATTTCAATCCAAACAGATTAGACAGTAATGTTGTGTCATTAAACTTTTGATAGAAAGCAACATATGTGGATGAAAACGTGTTGTTATGGTGCAATTTCAGTAGGAACCTAGCTGACATGACGATGGTACGCTGAGAGAGGAAAAGAAAATATAACACGTACGACAGATGTGACAAAAAGAGGTTGGCATAAGAGAGAAAGGAATGACGAATATTTCATGGAAAGATATGTTGGTGGCAGAAAGCAGTAATGAAGATGATACTCGAGACAAGAAGAAGTAGAGGGGGGAAGTGTCATTATGAGGCGAAAGGCAGTAACTCCTCATACAAGGGGAAATACTGACTTGAATAAATGATGATAATAATGAAGACGATGGGAGTACACAAACTACAAAATAAATCAAACAAATGGGGATGTTACTTTTATTATACATGTACATTAAAGTAAATAATCGAAACGTGAAACATTAAAAGCGAATCGTGCGAGAAAATAAGCCTATGAGGCTATGACATACATATGAAAATGTAATATATAAAATGTATATTTATGAGTATTATACATTTATATTTACGTTCTATGATAATAAAATATTGAATATGCATAATTATAAACAATTCTTGATTATACCTCTTGCATGATGCCGTGTCTATGGGAAGATAGATATTAATAATAATATTCAATTTTATATAGCGTTTAATACAATGTCTCTAAGCGCTTTACAAATATACTACACTGTCGCTCATATAGTTGGAATATTTTTGTCAAACCCCAATTTATGGAATTATTTTAAAAATAATTTAAAAATAAAAGATCTAGATAATAGTATACATTCTCAGATTTTATTGAATAATAATTTGCCAATGTGTGTTTTTCGTGACTGCTAAATCATGTGTATGCTACTATGCTTATCAACTAGGGGACCTACACCCTTAAGTTATAAATGACAGTAATAAGGATTAATGCCCCACAAAAGGCCACTAATATAGCACATCGACACGGTTTTGATTCTGGGGCCTCACAGTTACGAGGCCATTGCTTTGTCACTGAACCATGACTGTACGCAGCGGGTGCTAGGGTAGGGGGCTGTTTTCATAAATTAAAAAAAAAACACGGAAAATGCAAATAAATTTTCAATAATTTATTGCATTTTCCCCCGGTCCCCAACATAAACATATCCTCTGTGTGCCCATGCCTTGAGCCATAATGCATGGCCGTCCAAAGGATGTTTTATGTTGGGGACTGGGGTAAAATGCAATAAATTATTGAAAATGTATTGCATTTTCCGTGTTTTTTGGGTGTTTTTTCCGTAATTATTAAATAAATGACGTCTATTAGTTAGGTACGTCTATTAATCGACTTAAGAGCTATATAGCCAGTAAGTAATCGTCTGATTATCAGACCATTGTACCGAATGGTCGTATGTTTTATGCTGCGCAAAGATACAATCAGTTTAATTTTGGCCGTTACAAGAAGTGGGTTATTGATGTAGACCAATGCTCATGTACCCTCTAAAGCTCATTTTATGGATGTTATTACCAAAGAAGAAAAAAGAGCCAGTCAGTCACCCAATAGTGTCAGACAGTGAAGTCTAGCAAGTAAACGGGTTTCCTTGCATAATTTGAATATTAGGACACTGATAACGTTTAAATTTCACAGATAGGACATGCATGACATATTTATAATTCCTGCAAAGTTCTATAGAATTTGATGTTAGCAACAAAAGGGACATAGTATCTTATAATACATGTCTGCGTCTTTAACAAATCGTGACCTTCCCGACATGCAATATTGCTTATGAGCTTCTTTGGTAAGAGATTCGTCAAAGAAAAATCTGCATGATATATATATATATATAAATCTTCTTGATCTATGTTTAAACGTAATAAACTTAAGATAAACTCTATGTCCATAATGAAATCTATGTCCATAATAGTACTGCTAGAAAGAAGCCGATGAAACACAAAGCTACAAGCCTCATCGGGATTATCCTGGTCCTCTGGAGTTCTTTCTGTGCTCTCGGGCGAACCGTTTTTAATGTTATCTCATGTACCATATCTTCACCACTTTGCAGTATCCTCTGACGGGCATCGGGTCTAGAATGTGAACCCATCAACATGTACCACGTAGGATAGGCTGGACCAAAATAAAAGTGGTACGCCAGTTTAGGGTCCGACAACAACAGGCTCCAGAAACTTGGTAGAGCCCCGATTGCTTGAGCAAGCTCATCGTTGTATTTCGTCGGATGGATCTGGAGAAGTAAAAGACGAAACGTTAGTGCAGCCGGATATTATGGGTGGACAATTAAAGCTGATCGGGAAATATGGCTATATTTAAGTAGTTACACATTACTGCTAATACTATTAATAGTACGTGACTGAACAATCGTTTAATTCAACGTTATTGAAAGACGCATTAGAACTACTATTACATTTTTGACGATTAGTTTACCACGCATCTGGAATGCTGAAGCTGTTCGTCTTGCACAATAATTAAAGTCGAAACCAAGGAACAATAAAGAAAGCTAAAGAGGTACAACACGCAAAACGGGATGCGACTATTGGCTGCCGCAGACAAACTGAATGCTGCTAGCCGTTTCTTCATTTTTTTTTCAGAAAAAAAAAATCATCTAGACGAAACGTCTACGCACTAAAGTGGTGCATGACTCGTTCGGCATCAGTTGATCTACCTGACAAAGATAGAATTAATTTCTCATGACCCAACATTATATTGATCTCTTAACATAACCCAATCCTTAACTAAGGCACAGGGCTCATTCAAGCCTGAAAATTTAATCCATATTTACGACAAAATACAAAGTCCAGAGGAAATACTAGTACCCCGATTAGGAGCAAATGTCAGATCTGGACTTGAACACCTACCTTGGGCGTGTCTTGATTGTATTCCTGCATCACTCCATCTCTTCTTTTCTTGATATCCGCAAGCATCTCTGAACGACTTGGTAGTTGAAGTTCTTTCTTGAACACCTTCACTGCATAGCGACTTTGTAGTTCTGCTGATGGCCCTAAGGTACCACGTGTCACGATGTAGCCAATGGCCGCCATTGTTGGGTGCTCCAGTCTTGGTGGTATGATGTGTAAGTACAGTTCCAATTGACTGGTACTACCTGCAGGAGTCATCGAATGAAATTACCGTCATGGGAATGTGGCGTAGCATATCATTGAATCTCCAGAGTAGTATAGACCATGGTTTAATAACTCGTCGTGTATAGCCTTTGTATTGCTTGATGCTTATTATGGTATGAACATCTTTTTAATTTTCTAATTAACTTTGATTAGTGGAATGAAGGATGTCCCGTGTGAAACGGATAGTGCACTTTCGTTATCACATTCAACAGTCACTCTACAATAACGGTCCTATAGAGTAGGCTTGCGGTTGCACCATGTGAGAGAGAAGGAGGATTGGGAAGTCCTGAAAAAGACTCTCGATGATCTTTCTTTCTTGAGAGTGTATAGTCCTGTTGGTGTAGTCTTGAAAAAGACTGTTGGTAATCTTTCTTAGATTATAATTCTTAGGAGAACTGTAGCGAAGATTATCTGCAAACCGTGTCAAACGTTTAAATTAATTTCAAAGTAACATTAATTTTCTTCCATTTCTTTTTGTTACCATTATCTATTACTTTTGAGAGATAAACTGTTTATCAATCAGGCCATATGTTTTGATACACATTGTCTCTTTTTCTTCAGACGAGAATCAAGTAATCGTTGATGGGTAGAGGTCACTGCTATCGTATGCCGATTACCACAGTCTGGTTATATTGGTTTTAATTATTGCTATACAACACACTTAACATAGAACCCAAAATTTGAAATTATTCAACAATATTAACAAGGGCAAATGCGTATGATTAAAAATATGGGAGTGATTGAGAAAACAATGATGTATTGAAATTTAACAACTATGGGAATACATAACAAGCGCATAGCAAACTTCATTAGATTACTAATATATACGGTACTCCCTTTCTTCCACACCAGCCAGCCCATAGAATTTGAATTAAAAGAATGCGTAAATCGAACCCTTTTCCTCTTAAGCGTATCCAAAATGCTGCCGCTCGTCCGGTTACCCGCTCAAGACCTTATGAACATATTACTCCAATCCTCCGCAATCTCCACTGGCTGCCAGTTATTCAACGTATCCAATTAAAAATTCTTCTCCTTGCCTTCAAAATCCGTAACGGTGAATGCCCCACGTACCTTTCTAGTCTCGTAAAATCCAAACTCCACTCCTCCAGGTTGCGTGCTTCAACTTCCTCTCACTTTCAACTCAGTAATTCCTGGCCCTCGTGCGAAAACAAGATACGGTGATAGAGCACTTTCTGTAGCCCCCCCCCCCCCCCAGTTGTGGAATAGCCTCCCGTCCTACATCCAAAATGCTCCTTCTATATCCACTTTCAAAGTAATGTCAAAAACCCATCTGTTCAAATCCATTTCATGAATGTTGTCTTCTTTAAACATGTCAAATAAATAAATGATGTCGTACTACTATTTGTTATGAAATAAGTCGACTTTAGCACAATTTAAGTTAGATTAAGTTGATTTATTATTTATCTGTAACAAACTGTAATTTTGTAGCGTAACATAGCGTAACATACTGTAATTTTGTACTGAATAATATTGTGTAATCGTGGTGCTGTCGTCTCGGATTTTATTTCGTGTAAGGACATTGCTGCTGGGACAAAAGCACCACAGCGCCTAGAAACAATGTATTGGGCGCGTTATTAATGTGATCTATTATTATTATTATTATAAACAAATAAAAAAGTAGATACCTTACTAAAATTCAAAAGTAATTACCTGACAATCCTATTTACATATTAAGTAGCTTTGTTGAATTCGATACTTTATTGCTCATTATACAGAATTTATTACGTGTGTAATTATTTGAAAGGTATGATCATTGAACCTAGTACCCACTGACAAAAATTGAATCAAATTATATACATTTTGTATCTTGAATATATATATATATATATATATCGTATCATGGAAAATGAAAAATTCAGCGTGTACGTGTAGATATACCGAAACAAACGATGTCCGTATGTTCATGAAGCTTCGTATATGTTCATTTTTTAGTTTATGTGTTTGAATCGTCAAAATGTACCTGCGAGTCTTCAGAATTCTGTCCTATAGGCTTTTACGAATCAGTCGGGTCACGGCGCCTGGAATCGGGAAACAAATCCCATGAGGACCACATTTGCCCCTGATTCAACATACTTGAAGACACCGTACAAAAGATTGTGGTATTTTCAGCCAGGACGCTGCCCCGCGATCCGGCTGTTTAGCAATAGCCTTGTAGGCATGTACAATTAAAAGTAAAGACCAGTATTCGAAACGCCCAAATTTCAAAAAATGAAATGGAAGCTCTCATTACCAATCATGTGAAAGAATATGTTTTGACTAATACATGATGATAAAAAATTTGCCGGGAAACCGCCTACTAATTCATATATTTGGTAAATTTGTTTCTCTCAAGGACTGTGAGAGATATAGGGTAGTCCCACATCTTTCTGTGTATAGTGCTTGTAACTTTACGAAGAATGGGCCAAATTTCTTATCATTTTGATGATTCCAGAACCTTGCAGATGCTAGATGCTAGATGATCAACCTTTTCTGATCGATTCCACAACGTTTCTTTCACAATGCAATCGCATGACCATAACTGGTCTTTACCTTTAAAGCATTATGAACTGAAAGAAATCGAATCAACTGAATTCAATTAATATCCGGTGGCTCTAATGGTGAATATTTGAAAGATACTTTAATGTTATGTCATTGTTTATCTTGAATCTAATAAAATGTAGTTTTAAAATGTATTTTTTTCTCTACAAATGTCTGTTTGTATCTTCCCCTTTCGAAACCTAACACCATCATGAACATCGTCTCTGGCATTTTTTCTTGTTTCTGTTATATATTTCAACGGTTTTTTTCTGTGTTTTCTTTTTCTCTTCATTGATCCTCCACAAATGTCATTTTTCCCTCTTAATATTTCACTCAAGCTATTCATTTGTATGCATTTGGTAAGGATCGTAGGCAGGGGCGGCGGATCGACTTCCATGGTTTAGGGGAGGGGGGGGGGGGGCCACCAACAAAAAAGGGCACCTTCAAAGGAAAGTCTCAAAGCAAACAACAACAACATTGAACTCAATAAAATAGTGTCTACCATTTCATATTTCTCACTGAAACGTATTGGTGAATGGGTAATCATTAACTATTAATTAAAGCCTAATAAGAAATAGCATGGAAGAGGGGATAAGTTGAAGGTGCACATCGTAAAACCTAGAGGGGTGATATGAGCTCTGACCTCTGTAAGCAGTATTGAGGAGAAAAATGAAGGCTCTCACTTCGCTCACTCAAACCCTCCCTTAGCTACTACATTATCACGCATGGTATGATAACGAACAATGACAGGAAGGGGACATGATCGTTTGATCCTGACATCCTGTTATGTATATCACGTGATCATGACGAATGCAATTTTGTAAATATATTATGAGTCGTACATGTAGTTGGGCCATTTAGTAGTCGGCCTATAATAACTTTGACTACACACGTTGCATTTTGAAGTGAGTTGTGCTGTTGTATGTGGGTAAATATACGAATATTATGTTCACTTATAATAATATACTGTTAAGATATTAAGGGAGAGCATCATCGTGAATGTTTGTCATAAAATTACAAAATATCATATGATTAGAGGGTGATACAAAGTGATAACGGCTGCCGCAGCAAAAGCTAGGTGTAATGTTTTCAAAGCTCTTTGGAAGCGTATGGAGACTTTATATCATAATGTGTTATGCGCTATACAAGAACGGGCTATCATTATCATTATATCTGACAATAATGTTTGATCTTGTCAGTTTTAGGATGAAATTTTGAGCACATAAGTACTAGGCTTTTAAACATATACATGTTTGCTGACGATGCAACTCTGTATGTTAGTGGTAGTAATCTAGAATCGGTTGAAAGTCAACTAAATTCTGCAATGAATGAAGTCTACAAGTGGACAAATGATAAAAAGACGATAGAGATGCTTCTTGGTTCTCGACAACGATTGAATACCTTGCAGGATAAAAAAATATCTGTTATAATTAATGGTACCTTTAATTTGAATGTGTATCTGATTATAAGTGTCTGGGGGTGTCGATTGATGATACTCTGACATTCAAATCTCATGTTACTTCTATTGCAAAAGTCATGAGACAAAAACTTGGCTTAATTAGAAGAAACAAGTATATATTTAATGTTGATCAACTTAAAATATTATGTTGGGGATTTGTTCTCCCCCATGCATTATATTGCTCAACCGTCTGGTCACCTTCATCCGAATCTAAATACAAAATATTAAATACGCTACACAAGCGCGCAGCATATATATTGTAAGTGGATATACTTGGGAAACCCCATCGGAAACAGTTTTTTGAATACTAGCCTGGCCTACTCTAAAAGTACTGTTTAACAAGTCAATATCGTGCATGGTGTATAAATGTGTAAGTGGGGTAGCACCATCCCAGTTATGTAGTAAATTTGTTCTAAATGACAATGTTTCTACACGTGTAACACGAATCACTAACAGGTTGTTATTACGTATTCCTCAATGTAAAACTCAATTTTATCAGAGGACATTCGTACCGGTTAGTATAAATGAATGGAATTGTTTGTCTGATGGATGCCGATCTGCCCAGTCCTTAGCCATTTTAAAAAATGTTATCAAACCTGGCAAATAATAGCTCATTTTTTGTTATGAAGGTGGAGGAGGGGGGTTGCAGTGAGGTCAAATTCATTTTATGCTTGATTTTAATGTAATTTGTATTTTGTAAACAGGTGATAAACAGGTGTGTGTGTGTGTTTTAGCCTTCGTTACCCCTGTCATTTCTATATATAATATTGTTCATTGTCATTTGTATGTTGTTTTTAAACAGAGCCCTGTTGTAAACCAGCTTTTTTTGAATGTTTTTAACAATGTTTCGTAATGATTATATAGCTGAACATGATACTCTTTATAAAGATGCGAAATAAAATAAATGTAATATCTTGTATTTATGCTTGGGAGCAATTAGCCTGGATAACGTTTTTATCTGATTTGACTGTTTGGTTCTGTGAATATTGCAATCGTCTTTAATCCAAAAGATCATGGGTTGGAAACCAAATCGATGATACAATTATAATGCCCTTTTGGAAAGGCATGATTCCTCAATTTCACACTTTTGGAATTTGGAAAAACGGGTCCCCCTGGACGGTTGCATGCCTACTAATCAACAAACCGTTCTTTCTCTATAATTATCCACAGGTCAGAATATCAGAGACATGGCATTCTCTAAGCAGCAAGATACGTCTGGGCAGCTGATGCAGCTTTCAAGTGCGAACATCGGATTCGCCCTGGATCTTTATCAAACTCTTCAAGATGAACGGAGAGGTAAAAATCTGTTCTTCTCCCCTCTTCTTATATCGACCGCTATGGCTATGACACAGCTAGGAGCCCGAGGTGATACAGCAACTCAAATCGCGGATGTCTTCCGTTTTAATCAGACAGACCAAGATCAACTTCATGGAACATTCAAAGAACTAAATAACTTGCTTTACCAAACAGATTCAGGTTACAAACTTCATTCCGCCAACAAGCTCTATGGCAAATCTGGCTACAACTTCGTTCAGTCATTTCTTGAAGAAAGTGCTTCCTATTATGGAGCGGCCATAGAGGCGGTAAATAACTTTGCATCTCCAATTGTCACTCAATCAATCAATGATTGGGTTTCAGAGCAGACCGAGGATAAAATCAAAAACCTGATTGCTCCTGGAATCCTAAATGATCTCACACGCCTTGTCCTGGTGAATGCCATCTATTTCAAGGCGAACTGGCATTCAGAATTTCGTGCCCACAATACTAAAAAGGATAAATTCAAGGTTTTCGATGAGAGAAAGAAGGTTTTCAAGAGAGAGAAGGTTCCGGTGAGTCTTATGAGTCAAGGGGGACCATTTGCTTTGGCTGTTGACAAAACCAATGACTGTCTTGTGCTAGAGATGGATTATCAAGGCCACAATATGAGTCTATTGATTGCTCTTCCCGTCAAAGATGATGGCCTTGGTCAACTTGAGACGAAGCTCTCTGTGGACGTCCTGCAATCCTGGGACGCAGGGCTCGAATGGAGAGAAGTGGACGTACTATTACCAAAGTTCAAACTAGAAGCAACATACCAACTGAAGGAGGTTTTGCAACGAATGGGAATGCCCGACGCTTTTGATGAGGATAGGGCTAAGTTCGAAGGCATCTCAGATGAAAGAGAGTTGCATATCTCTGCCGTCATCCACAAGGCCTTTATTAATGTCAATGAGGACGGGACTGAGGCAGCTGCTGCAACGGGTAGGCTATTGGGAGGTTGTCTACCAGAAGATCGTGAGAAGCCGATCCTTTTTCGAGCAGACCACCCATTTCTCTTCATGATTCGTCACCGGTCGACGAAAGCGGTCCTTTTCATGGGACGAATGATGGATCCCTCCTAGATGTCGACCGCCATGTCCCCCCTTTGAAAATAATTACATTTTCTGTTCTGGCAGTTTAATCGAATAAACAAAATCAAAGATTTTTCGTTCATTACGACGTTTTCTGAGCCACGCAAATAGCCTAGTGTTGATTAATTACTTGATATATTCTATATTGTGCATACAATCAACAAATGTTTTGGGGATGAACTAAATAAGCTTGTTACCATTATCTATTACTTTTGAGAGATAAACTGTTTATTAATCAGGCCATGACGTTATAATATAAATGTTTCTTACATTTTGATACCCATTGTCTCTTTTTCTTCAGACGAGAATCAAGTAATCGTTGATGGGTAGAGGTCACTGCTATCGTATGCCGATTACCACAGTCTGGTTATATTGGTTTTAATTATTGCTATACAACACACTAAACATAGAATCCAACATTTGAAATTATCCAACAGTATTAACAAGGGCAAATGCATAGGATAAAAAATTGTGCGAGTGAATGAAAAATAAATATATACAACAATGTATTGTAATTTAACAACTAAGGGGTTACATAACAAGCGCATAGCAAACTATATTCTTGACATATTATTATTTTTTGGGGTAAAAAGATTATTTATATACGGTACTCCCCTTTTTACACATTAGCCAGCCCATGAAATTTTTATTGGAAGAATGCGTCATAAAAAAATGAAAAAAGTAGGTACCTGACTAAAATTCAAAAATAAATACCTGACATTCCCATTTACATATTAAGTAGCTTTGTTGAACTTGACGGATACTTTATTGCTCATTTACAGAATGTATTATGTGTGTAAATATTTGAACGGTATGATCATATAACCTTGTACCCACTGACAAAAATTGAATCAAACTATATATCTTGAATATATATCATGGAAAATGAAAGCGTGTTTGTGTATATATACCGAAACAAACGATGTTCGTATGTTCATAATGCTTCATATAGGCTATGTTCATTTTTTAGTTAATGTGTTTGAATCGTCAAAATGTACCTGCGAGTCTTTTACGAATCAGTCGGGTCATGGCGCCTGGAATCGGGAAACACATCCCATGAGGACCACAGTTGCCCCTGATTCATCATACTTGAAGACACCCACCGTACGAAAGATTGTGGTAATTTACAGCCAGCACGCCACCCCTCGATCCGGCTGTTTCGCAATAGCCTTGTAGGCATGTACAATTAAAGTATAGGATTTCCCGGCCAAATTCGCTAGTTTGTCATTCAAATTAATTTGTCTTGCGTTCAAATTCTACGGTTTTAGTGCAGTCAGGTATCTCGGGTTTATATTCCCTTTTCTAG